TGCCCACAACACCCCCCCCCCCCCCCCCCGCCTCAGGGCCAACGTACTGCCAGCAAATTGTCGAGCTTTCTGGTTGTGCTGGTGTCGATACAGTGCTACCGGACAAGGCTCTAAAGCTGGCATGTGTGACCAGATACCCACAACAGTTTCATTTCAGGCATAATCTTCGGCGAGGTGTTTGGAGAGTACTTGGGAAGTTTCCGCAGGTCTAATAAACCATCAAGCATACTTAGTAACATCTGGTGACTTCGCATTAAACTTCCACGTTTGAATAACACGCGGATCCGAAATAGCTTCGGGCGGCCGTAATGCATTTAGCCGCAGAAGACTTTGGTATGGCAAATGGCGTTCCTGCGAAACCAGATCACTTTCAGGTAGATGCTGCGATATCACTTTGGGTGCAGTAGGATCCCGTGTTGTAGTCACTAGAACGGGTATAACTCGTTTCACTTTGTTGTGGTCGCTGCGGGTGGAGGTCGAGGACCGTCCAGGCTGTGATTACTTCCGAGTTAAAGCCCCCCCCCCGATATTGTCCCCAATCGATATCGCGAATACATGCGTACTGCTACTTCACTATCCAGATGACGCATCGAGAGAACGATGGCGTGTGTTGAAACAGTAGAACCTGGTTAACTGAAGTATAACCCAGAGCCTCGGCAACTGGTAGCCGCTAGACGTCGGCCTTATGTTATAAGTGCTCCTGGATACTTACCGGTATTTCGCATTGCCCCCCTGTACTCATGCGACCGGGCAGCTTCGTCATTGCATGCGGATCGTGCTTTCGAAGGCAACTTAGGTCCATTAAAAGCGGTTTTTGGGTCGTTCCAGCCAGTTAAGAGTGCCGCGACATCATGACACGAATAGTTGCTTTCCCCGAGGACACATTGTGCTGGTAGCAGCACGTAGAAGGTGTGGGATCATTGAAATCGAAAGCTCCCTATCCAGTGGTTGGCCCGCAGATTAAGTTTGTCATCGAACGAACTTACGTCGACCGCGATAAAACCACGATGACATTAACAATTTCACATAATGCCAGGCAAGCAACAGCAAGTGACTGCTACTCCCATGAGTAAGTGGAGTGCAATACTAGCGACACGACAACAAGCACTATATGATCATGTCGAGATGTCACATAAACCGAACGTTTGTCCGAGTTTGGAAATGAATATCTGTTGGTAAAGCAACGACAGCTATTATCGACGATTCAGAAACAAGAGAATTAGTCGTACATCCAGGTTCGGTTTAAAATATGTTCAACTAAATCTGGATCCGGGCGACAGTGCTCTGTTGAATCCAAACCCCGGTGATACTTAATAGTGACAGACTCGAGAAAATAGTCGCTAGATTCAAGGCACTGACAGTGATTTTTTTCGCCAGTGTAACTATGATCGGCTGCGTAGATATATACTGATCTAATCGCCCTTTGCTAGTTGATTCGTCATTTTCGATAATGATGTTGTGTGGTACTTCATTTTTATTGTAGGATAAGTGTATTTGGAACGGATGCCCAAGCCCTATTAGAAGGTTTACTGTAGCCGCGGCCAACGGAGGTGCATCACGTTGTATATGTATATTTGTCCAATCATATCTCATTCGGGTTAGGGCTAAACCATTCCAGCTTATTTCTGGATTTGTCCGGCGTTCCTCTACAATCGAAAATAAGTCGCTACACGGAAACCATGATAATGGACAAGTTATCGGATAATTGTGGTTTATGCCGGACAAGTGGCTTCACATTGAAGCGGCTCGTTGGTAGTTGCACGTACGATAAAGTTAGAACGTAGCATAAGTGCTACTTGCCATTCTTGTTTAGGCAGCGCAGGTGAAGCCGAGTTGAGACGAGCCTCAAGGAGGCTTGACACCCCAGTGGGAACTGTTGGGGAGGAGGTGGCAGCAGAGAAAATGTTTGAGCAGTTCCTCGGCTCAATAGGATTATCAAAAATAGACCTAGATGGCATCCCTAGAGCTCATAGTGAAGCAGCTAGCCTTCCGACCCAAAACATGTACTCACTTCTAACAGCGATTTCGATTCACGTGCAGATAAAGAAGAGTAACAAAGCTCGGGCTGCAGATGGTATGCTAGCCAAGTCGACAGCTTTTGGATACTACTCTCAGGTGGTGAACATGTTTGGTAAGCGATATATAATGTCGCTTAACGACTCCAAAAGAATTGCGAAATTTCGAGATAAAATGGCAAGGCACATTGAGGAGCGCAAGCTGCGTGCCAATGTGCAAACCAACGATGCTCCTGGTTGTACTGTCGCCGATCTAAGTATATTGGCGGAATATCTAGTCACAAATGCGGATGTAGCTACGGGGCTGAAGTCTGTGCATGACGCCGCACTGCTGACAATGATGGGGCACACTGTGGCAGGGCAATCGACACATGCTTTGCGCGTAAACAACAGCTCTCACTTTCCGCTTCCGGGAAGCTGTTCCTGCACATAGCTCGTATCAAGACTTCTGTGGTGCAGGGGGTGTCGATCTACAAGTCCCCGGGTAGATGGCAGCAGTGCATGTTCCACGCGTTTGGACTCCTTTTTATCTGTTGCGATGAGCCCTCCGAATATTTTTTCCCCTTGGTGCCGCGGTTCGCTGACTCGATCTTCCTGGAAGTCAACCGTATTTACAAGAGGAACCTGTCATGTACTGGGGTAAACTGTTAGGGGAGGAAGACAACAGCTCTGCACCGCAGAAGAGAGAGAGGAAGAGACCAAACATTGCAAGCTATATTACTGAAGTCATCAGGGATACTGTGACATTGATGCCCCCTGCAAGCCGCCAGATGGTGACGCCCAACTTGACCAGCCACTCGATTCGCCGTGGTGCCGCTGCGTACGCAAACGCATCGCCGAAGCTGGCAATCCAGTGGATCTCTACGCGCGGTGCATGGCTGCTGGAGTCGCTAACCAAAGCGTTCGCCTACATTGGAACGACAACAAAGGAAGGGCAGAGTGTAGCAACGATGTTAGCAGGGTATCAAGCTCCTGACCTTCATGTAGCAACGCCGTCGATCCGTGATCAGCAGCAGCGTCTTTCGGTGCTTGAGTATGACCAGCTCGTCACTCTCCGCGATGAGCTCTAAAGTCACGTACTCGGCTTTAATGATTCTCGCTTCAACGTCGCCTTGGATGTCATCGACGCCACGTTCACCTCACTGCTCATACACTGGGAGACCATACTAGCTGCAACAGACACCATTAGCGTCACCAACGTCGTGTCGCGGTACCTATATGAGCTGGAGCGTGGCATCGCCGCCACAAATGCTCGCCTGGGATCTCGAATCAATACCAACACATGCTGTGAGTGCGGGGCTCGCCTCAAAGCACACTGGCACACGCCGAACCACGCTCAGCTCAGCAACGCTGTCACTGGACACAACACCTTGCTATCCTCGGCACTGGAGAACATATTGAGCCATCAGTAACAGGCTAGGACGTCTTGAAAATTCCCAAGCGAAGTGCCATGCGTCAGTTCCAAATGTGGAGATAGCGTACTTGGGCCCACCCGCAGCTGTCGATCGTGCTGTTCCTCCACCTGCAACAGCATCGACACTTGCAGGATACCTGCTCAACTGGTACACAAACCAGATCTGGCAAACGGTTAAAAAAAAGGAATAGAACAAACGGGCTGAGGCAAAAATCGCAGTGAACATTATGCTGATACTGTACCAGACGCTGTGCCAGGTAACTCAAGAGCCGAGTCGATCCGATGCCGCTGCATACCAGCGCTGGAAAGACGATCTTTGGACGCTTGTCTCGGCCATGGGCAGTGCTGTGAATGAACGGCTTCATTCATTCGACCACAAGAAGCCCACGCGCAAAGCTTCGTCGTTGCGGAAGAGCTGACGCCAGCTGCGCGCGGAACACCTCGACGCATACAGCTCGCTTGGTGCTCAGTTCCTTGCGCTCAAATCCACTGGCTCCGCGGTCGACTCTTGCACGCCTGTATCGCACCAGTGGGGGGCATCTGACTTGGCCTAGCACGCACACAATCATACAACATGGCACACAAGCACACCACAACAACACACGCCAAGTTGCCCCGGTTAGAATCGAACCAGCGGCCTGGAGGCGTAGCCTCCTACTCTGCCGCTGAGCTACGGGGGCGTGAGTGGGGTTGCCGAAGGCCGAATATGGCGCACCTTGTTGGAGTCACTGCTGTCGCTTGTGGTGTCCGCAAAATCCAGAATGAGAGTGAGTCCGAGCCGTCGGCTAAACGACTGGCTGTCTTTGAATACTATACGTTTGTCCCTTCGTTGCGTGAAACATACCTAAGCACTCCCGTCCGGAATGAATAGTAAATTTGGATGGTTTTTTTTTTTATTATGTGGTCCAGTCAAAACGTATGGTGGCGTCCGGATCCCGGTCCGGAATCTGCCAATTACTATATTTTAGCTAAGGACCTTATCCTTGCCGGGCGACCAAGAATATTAAAACCGGTACGTGGTTCGCCGAACGCCCTTTCCATAAATTTGCGTACGGACTCCTGCGCAGACAAATTTTCCTTTGCATCTCATTCACAGATATTTTTTTCACGAAGCATTTCCATTCTGGGTAGGTGACATCAGTGACCTAACACAAAAAAGCGTACGTATGGCCATTAAGGACGTAGGAAAACGGATGTACATCATCGTCAACATACCTCGCCCAAGCGGTGACTCGTCACAAATATTCAAAGCATTGTTTTCTGCCAGGCATGCCAACAATTGTGTGCCAAATTCTTAGGTCTTCAGATTCCACCTATTCAAGCACTACAATTACATCCCGAGAATCCTTGAAAAGTTCCACGCCACGCTCCAGGACAGTGCTTCCAACTCAATGTCATGCTAATATTGGGTCCGATCATTTCCGGAAATTCTCGAGCTGCGTTCACCTGCAGAATCTTAGCCAAGTCTTGCTTGGTATTCAGGAGAAGATGTTGATATTCATATATACGAATTAAAGACGAAAAAAATATATTCAGCAAACCGAGCACTATGATCTCACCAATAGAAACGGAATCATCAAGAGGATCCGCCGAATACCCGTATGCAAGCATTCGAATCGACGGCAGCCACCTAAATTGCAGGATGCGGATCATATTTGCATATGCAGTTTTAAGGCTAAGTGAAGTAGTCGTCATTGTGTCCTAGCGATTCCACTCGGCTAAGAAACAGGTCTTGTTCATCCGGAAGCGGCGTCGAAAACTATTCCTCCGTGTATATGGGTCGCTCATCCAATTACTTTTTACAGAAGTGCTTGCAAGCGCGAATATAGTCGCGATCCAGCTTGGCCCTCCTTCCAGGTCGCAACCCTCCGAGCATCTACCTCTTTCGTGATCTACATCGACGCAGGAAGGGCGTCGTTATGACAACAGAAGACAAAATATTGCTGCTTGTAGGACTCATTTGGAATTATTAAGTGCTATATCCAGCAGCACAAGCTCACCGTGTATTTTAAAACACATGTGAAATACAATGGAGATACCCTCGCTAGTGCACATAAACTGCCTAGTCACTGCATGTTTTACTGACAGACCAAACCAAGGTAATTCGATGATCCTGGTAACTGAAGCCGGAAGCAGAAGCTGGATCGTGTCTCACCTATCAATGGTCACTGGCAAGAGTTCTATTCTACTTCAACGAATTCCTTTGACCTACAGCGTTAACATCGCTTTTTACCTACGAACCCACTCGTTCCGCGACCGCTCTGTACGTCATCCATCCGGACAGAGTCACTCGCGCTTACGTCGCGCGGGTTCCACCGCCGCAGGAAAATCAACTTAGACGTGCGGCCGCCCAGAGTGACTGTGGTGAACGCCGCAGCCTTTGCGGCGCAGGCCATCCAACTCCAGAACATAGTGGTGCTGCTCGGCCGCGTCGACCCGGCGCCATTCGCAGCACCACAGACTCATTGGGGTGCCATTTGTGTTTTGCTTTCAACTTTTTATTGGCCACGTGTGTAAGATTTGCTTCAGTGGTATGGCGTACCATCTCAACGAGGAGCAGGTTAAGGGATTAACACAAGCGTTCGTACCATTTGCGGTCATTCCACCTTGTCAAGGAGTTTATCTCCAACCTGTCGAAGGGTGTTCTGCGAGCACATGCGAGTAATCAACATAATTGACCACGCGTCTTAACATTCAACTAAGCTTTGTCTGTGCCATTCGTCGCGGTACCTTCGTTTTTAGGCCACAGCCATCTTAGGTCACACAAGGCCACACACATAGTCAATTCAAGTTTTAATACGTTGACATGATAGATGACATTGTGAGTGCTTTGCCTCTTCAAGAACCCCCCCCCCTCATAATTAGAGTATGTCAATCAACATCCGGTGCTATGTTCAACCAATTGGAGATGAGTGAGATACGCCAACTCGACCTGGCCCCGTACAACTGAATTGTCACTTTGGCTCTCCGATGAATTTAGAATGTCGGGTATGCTGCTTCGCTTGCGTCACGTAATATGGTGTGTCTCCTGTATTATGTTCCTCACCGCTACGTTCGCACAGCCATTAGCTTGACAAAAGCGAGACGCGGTGAGACTACTGACTGCTGTACACGGCGGCGGAGACAGAAAAAGGTGGCTAGTCAAAAGGAGGAGATGGTGCGGACGATATTGCCCGGAAATCCTCAACGCGATCAGAGATGAAAGCGTTTGTGCAAGTGCGTGAGAGTGCGGCGTCTGGTACGGGAAAAATGACATATTCCCCGGAACTTTCAGCGCTGAATAGTGAATCCTATCTTTCACAGAGGCCCATCCCTGCTCGTACAAGTGGTGCCGATACGAGTAGTGTATTTGCAATGACTGATCTTGTTCACGATGGATGCATGTATCGATATCAGGTAAAATGGAGAGACGGAGCAGACGGCTATCGTTGGCCTGATACGTATGAACCTAGGTGGACTCGAAAAGATGGATTTGGGGGGACCAACATGGCATTGTGGATGAATGGAAAGCGTCTACAGTGGATTCGGTTTACGCGTTTCGTTCTCTGTCTGTTTTTTTTTTCTAATAAGATACTTCCTCCGTCCAAAACTCTAAGCAGGTCCACACTCAAATTTCAATCTTTAGCTCCACATCCATAGTTAAAGCGTTTGTTTTGCTTAAAAGCAAGAACAAACGATGTGACGGGGTCACACGCACCTTGACTTGAGGAAGCGTAGCTTCTAACCGGACAGACGCCTGGCGTCTCTGTCGTCTTGTTCGCACGAGGAGGCCCTGCCTTCCTATGGCTTATGGTTCCTGGAACCAAAGCCTTGCGATCTTCGAGGTTAGATTTAAACTGAGTATATTTACTGTCACACTCTAGTCCCTATTTAATGTAGCTACCTGAATAGTGAACCGTCCTTTAATGACGACAGCCTAATGAATGGCTAAGACCTAACCTACTGATATAGGTTAAGATAAGCGTACTTAGTGATATCCAATGTGGTGCACCCCAACTCATGTGACACACCACATTCGTGTGCCACACATCATTTGTGTGGGACACCTCATTCGTGTGGACCACCTGAGAATCACATTCAAACCGTCGGCCATCCGATGGCGACTGACGTGGCGCGGCGTGGTGCGCCCCGTTACACCCTCCCACACCCAAACGAGAAGCACCCGTCCCAGGGGGAATCCAGCGAAACGTGCGCACCACGTGCCGACCCAGCAGACGCTGTTTCATTCTTCAAAATGCCAGCGCAAGACACAGCCGCCAGCCCAATGCACACCGCCGACCCAGCTTCGCCGCCTCAAGTCCCTCGCCGAGCGAGACCGCCCCGACCGACCCCACACCCGGGGGTGGCCCTAAGGGTCCCGCGATCTCACGAAGGTGGCCGCTTCGGCAACGACAGGTGATCCTCCCGGTGGAGATAAGCCGAAGGCTCAGCCCGCACCCTCTGCGAAGAAGCCCAAGTCGACCAAGGCCGAATCGCGGCGGCGTAAGCCGCACGAAGTGCAGGTGCCCGGCCCCGTACACGACCCTGGCGTCGACAGCGACCACGAAGACTCCGAGATCACCGGCGTGACCATGATCACTGGGAGTGATGACGAGAGCGCCGATCAAGCCCCCGGGGCGGAAGCTGCGGAGCCCAAGAGGTCAGAGGATGCGACTGCGGCAAAGCCAACGCAAGCGAAGCCGGTCCCACCGCCTCCTGTTGATCCTGCGGCAAAGCCGACTACTCAGATCGCGTCCCAAGACGCCTCGGCCGATGTGGACTACGATCCGGCGTCGGAAAGCGACCTCTTCCCCGAGGAAGAGAGCGAAGCCGATCCGACGACTCCCGCATCACCACAGCTGACGGAGTCCCAACGGGCCGTGCATCCTGGCAGCCCTCCAACGCCTCGCAGCGCCGCTGCTGTCAAGCGCGCTCAAGCGTCAAACACTACGATAGCTCCGCCAGCCCTGCCCAAGCAGGCCCTGATCATTACCAACGCTGGTGTTGATGAGGGTATCGACCCGACACTGTTGCGGAGCTAGAATCGCGACCTTCTCAGCGAGAGCTCGCGCCATATGCTTCAAGACGCTGAGCATCGCCGTGACGCGAAGCGCGGACGTGAATCTGATCCTTCCGTGCCGCGCTCGCGGGAGCAGTTACTGGCTCTCCACGTCTGGACTCCGCGCCAGTACGCGTCGTACTTGAATGAGAGCCGGCGCCCAGGGCGTGGTGTCGAGAATTACGTCGAGTGTCCGCTCGTCCTCCATGAGGACACGGGCCTTGCCCGCCAGCGTAACGAGATCGACTTCAAGGACTGGCTTCACCACTTAGGCTATCCGATGCCTGAGTTCCTGGAGTCGCCGTACCGGCCGGATTGGCTCGCTCAGCGACGACTTCGCTTCCGCATGGCGAAGATAATTGCGGAGGAACGCTGGGGGCGGCGTCATTACGATCGTGACCTGCCGACCCCGCGGGTCATCCTCAACGAGGTCGTGTCGAAGGTTCAGAAGGCTCGGCAGTCACAGCCTGTAGAGCCTAGAAGTGTGCTCGGCTATGTTAGCGCCGACCAGCTCCAAGGGAGCGCTTGTAAGAGGCCACGACATCGCCGCAGTCTTTTACGACGTGGCCTTCCGGCTCCCATGAGTTATGGGCCATCGGGTAGCCGCGCCACTTCACCAGATACTGGACGTGGCCGTCGCGT